AACCAGCCCAAGCAATCCTTTTTAGTTCTTTTTGGACTCCAAATCACTACTTTTCCTAATATTACAAGGTATCCAAGTTCTTAAATTTTTCCATGTGCAAAATATGCTAATTATGAAAGTAGAATTCCATAATTAGGAAAAGCGAACCATTATTTAATATTATTTTATTAATATTTTAATATAAACCTTATCTATAGGATTAATTAATTATTATTTTAAGATTTCGATAAGGATATGTATTTATTTAAATTTAAATTAGAATAGAATTTTATTATTTAATTAATTAGGTATCTATTTTTCAATTAAATTAGAAATTAGAATATGGATAGGAATCCTAAATCCTACTCCATGTAGAAGTAGAAATTAAGACTCTATATAAAGGCCTTAACTCATGCATTGTCAACACAATCTTTTGAGAATTAATAAAATTAAGCTTTGTGCTAAGTTTTCTCTTCAAGTTCTTCCAAGTCAGGTGAATTTATCAAAGTCTTGATTGAGCCGAGGACTTGGGATCGACTTATCGAGTAAGTCTATGGTGTCTTTCTTTTCTTCGTTTTTGTTTCCCTAGTTTTCGCTTTTAATTCTATAGAGCTAAAATCACCATTCGGATTTTGAGTATTTAATTTGATTATGATGATATAATGATGCTGAAATTATTATTGCACGGAATAATTCAAAGTTTAAAAGTTATATTCTTTGCACATTAAATTGGAATACTAGAATATTTTATAACCTAAAAACAAAAACTACTACAAAATTATAATTAACCTCAATTCAAGTTTGGCAAACGGGATGAAATAATATCCTACTATTCTTTTACTGTTTGGGATCTGGTCTTGATTGTCTTGATCTGAAATGGTTAATAAGAAAAGAGTTAGCTACATTAGCTCAATAAGAATATGAAAAACCTTGCTATCAACACAGAAACCAAGGTGTTGTAGAAAACTATAAAACAATCAATGGAGCGTATATTTTTAATGAAATCCGAATGTTAATGCATCTCTGATTCGTTTTTTATTTTGAAAATATTATTATTTCTTTTCTTATTAGCAGTTTTCCAAACATAATACATTAAAATATAGCCAGAATCATGATTAAATTGCAGTAAACATGCATTCCAATAAATATGTAACCTTAGATTTTTTACTACCTCACCCAAATTAGGGTTACTTACCATTTCTATTTTCATCATATTATTTTTATTTCCACTACCAGTATCGTTGAGGGCTCATAGGGATCCCCGCTACACATGGATACATGAATATTTTCTTTGTAAATCATCAGTCGTTCCCATATCCCATCCAGTAATGGGTGCCACAATTAAAAACCATCTCATTATCCCGTCTGGTATGAGTATAATTAATTAACTCCCAACTCCATTCGGTATGGGACTTCCCAATGCCGTACGACTGAGAACACGTCCACGATGAGGTTCACCGTATATACCAAGTCCGTACACTCTTTTTTATAATACCCGGTAAGCCTTTGATTCATGTCATTAATTTACACATGTATATATTTTACTATTATCCAAACAATTAATAGCCTGTAAGACCCATACATCAAATAATATAAGAGTATGTAATCCATGTTTTGATCCTTAATAAAATCGTGAATAAAAATAAAATCGATGGCAAACTAGGATAAAATTTTCATATGATGAAATAACATAAATAATAAAACGAAATGGATAAATCAAGGCGAAACAAAATAAAATAGAATACAAGAATGAAGCGGAATGAAATAAACTAAAACAAAATAACACAAAATAGAACAAAACAGAATGGAGTAAAATATAACGATTCAAGATACGTGATTAATACATTAATTCTAGATATATATAATGAATAAAATAAAAACAGAATAGATAAACTGAATGGAAATAGAAATTGAAAGATAAATAAGTAAAGAGAACGAAGTAAAAAATAAAATAAAATAAAAAATACAAATACAAATAAAACTGATAACGACCATAAACTAAATTGATTAACTGGCTTCGTCACCAACCTATATTTAATCATCAAGTAATCACAAAATCATTTAGAATTTCCATTTATTATCAATTAAACTTTGATTTAACCATAACAAGAAAAACTTCAAGGTATTCTTATCTCAGATCGGAGGCCAAAACACTCCTCTCAATTGCTATCGTGGTAGCTCTCGACTCTCGGATATTTGAGTTTTCTTGTGGAATAAAGAAGTTTGCATTAAAGTGATGCGAAAAAAAGATGAAAGATGGTGAAAAGAAGCGAGAATACTCACCAGGGTCGATTTGGGTTCTGGCACGGCAGCGCAACCGAGCTCCACCACCTGGTTCTTCTTCCCCGACGTTCCTCTCTCTTAGTTACGTCGGATCTTAGTGGAATTATGGTCGAAACCAATTTAAAACGTAAGAAGGAAGGATTTTACGAAGAAATAAGGAAAAAATCGGGCTTATCAGCGTTGGTTAGGTCTCTGGCACAGCGTCGTCGCCTACATTCTCTTCAGTCTCCCGTACTACTTATTCTTTGGTTAGTTGTATCAGCTAGGGTTTTGGGAAGTCAGCTAAAGAGAGGTATTTATACCTCTCTTCATTTAATCTTAGTTGTCCGATCGGACTGACGTGGCGTAATGGCAACCATCCGATTAGGGCCACTTAAGAGAAATCTCAATATTCCTCTCGCACGTGATCTTCAGTGTTGGATCAGCTAGCCCCTCATATCTAAGCTGTTGATCATGCAGGCCATTGGATCGATGCGTGGTTCATTGAAGCCATTCATTCAAAATCAAACGGGCATGAATCTAAACCGTCCGTGCGCGTGGGAACAACTACGAGTCGTTCGATCCTCTTGGCACACGAATTGCCAGCATGGGCTTTCCACGTGGGAGTCTTTGTCGACCCAGCTGCCACACGGCGCGTGGCAATTTGCCACGTCATTGACTGGGCTTTCATACGACTCATTTCCTGGAATTTGTATAGTGACCTCTGGTCACTTAGAATCTCTTCAAACATGTCTATTTTTATCGTAGAATGGTCTAACTAAGAAATTTTGTTTTAAAAAAGATCTACAAATGAATTTTATTTATTATTGTTATTTTATTATAATTTAATTTATTTTTCTTATTAGTTATTATTATTATTTTAAGAAGAAATATATTTTATTATTTCAAAGTTAATTATCCTGAACTCGGGATGTTACACATTCCTAATTTTAAGGGTTGTAAATTCAATTAGAGGGAGAGATTTTAATTAGGTTGTTTGAGTTTTGAGTTAAAGTTTTGAGAGTCAAAACGATCCTCTTCGTACCCTCTCACGTCATTAACTCTCTTGAATTTCCTTATTCTCCTATTAGTATCTTAGATATTTCTCTTTTCAGTCTTTCAAAGGCCCTCCACTTCTCTAAGAGTAACAAACTTTTATAGTATTATAAAGATTAAATTAAATTTGTTTTCAGTTCTTTATATACCTTGTTGGTCCATGCCATAAGCAAGTAAACATTATATAATATAATCCAATTATTTAAAACAGCTATACTTATTCATTAGAAAACAAAATTGGAAACCCAACATTATGAGGGACTAGAATACTTACTCACTCTATTAATTGCACCTCCTCAATCCATTGAATTGAGGAAAGAAATGGGAACTTACCAAGGGATGTGCATGAATAAATATAAAAGTAATACGCATGTTTGATTAATGTTAGAGCGTGTGGAATTTTTAATTCTTCATGCTCTTCTGTCTCAAACTTGCGATGTCTCTCTTTTTAACTCTTCGAGGTTATGGAAGTAATAAAATTCATTGTCGAGTAATAGTGGCATGATTTGATTTATTCTGTGTTGTCATCATTATTCTTTTTATATTTTATTTTAAAGGATACAAATATTTATAATATATCTTCCTAAATACATAATTTAATTAGAAAATAAGTATTTATTTTTTTTATCTAATATATTTCTGATTGCTGAAACACTTGGTAATTAATTTTGCCCACCACCTCATGATAACCGATTAAATTTTAATATCCAATTAGCTTTAAAAAAATTATTCCAATTTCCAGTATGATAAAATTAAATATATCACATAATCTATTTGGTTCAAAAATAATTTAATTGGTCCAAAATTTACGTTCCTACAAAATAAAACCAGAAAAAGTAAATAATTGATGAGAGAAATACAAGCATTTTTAACTTTTAAATAATATTTATTTATATTTTCAGACATATGATATAATTTTTTAGTTGTTGTATAATTTTTAAAAAATTATTTATTTTTTTTATTTTTCTCAAACTACTGAATAAGTGATTTTGTGCTATTTGCATAATTTTTTTTCCATTTATACCCTTATTCTTTTTTTGTTATGTATATTTATACCCTCATCTTATTTTAATTATATACATATATATAATGTATATAATTAAATATATACATTTATTTAATTATATTATCTTTTTTTTTTCTTTTTTATTTATTATTACTTATAATAAAGTATGAATAAAATAAATAATTTAATTAAATATACAAATATATCATCTTATCAATTTAAACAAAAACAGTTGTCATTATCATATATATTATACACAATCTTTTTAAACATAATATAACTTTATAATTAACATACTCTGTCATTACTATACAATATAATTCATTAATGAATCATCCTGATAATCATCCAAACAAAACACATCCTAAAAGATCGTGTTTAAAACAAGTTTGAAAATTAAATTTAATAAACTATTCATAAATTTGCATTTATTTTAACTAATAAATAATATAAATTAATAAAGAAATAATCAATTTTTATAAATTTTGATGTGAAATTGATAAAATTTATAATTTATAATTAGCCTAATTTAATTAACTATTGCTCAATTACAAAAATTTCAATTAGACATCCGTACAAAATACTCAATTTGATTTGTATGGTTAACTGAATAGTTAAACTAACTCGTGCACATCAAGCATGAATTAAACTAAAAAATTCTTCTGAAGCTTGTGAATTTGTATCGAACATAACCAAATAAATTAAAAAATAAAAAACTTGAATCAGAAATATCCATTACACCCAAAGTAATTTACACCATCTACAGTCTACTTAAAACTGAAACAAGGCATAGCCTTACACACTATACAATATATATACATGCGTGCATTTATTTATCAACACTTATTAGTATATTCTTCACATAAACCATGGCCTGTGAATGTATTACATTTTATCAATCAGATTTACATACCATGGCCAGTGAACACTGACTGATACAGTGGCTGCAACCACCAGCACTTCCGAAGCTTTCACCACGTTCTCACTTAGTGAACCAGCTCCAACCCGCCCAAGTGCTATTTCTGATAATTTCTTTCCACCAGCCCCACTTCCTCCAAGTACAACCCCTCTTGCAGCCAAATAAACAGCCCGAGACACCTTTTTGAACACAGGATCCTCTGCTTGTAAGCTCTTAGCTACCAACCTTCTTACTAAGTTCTTCCTTGATTGAAGTTTCTCACCATCCCCAAGGAAACCACTGATAGTGTCGACAATTTCTTCAACACCCACATCTTCCACGGAGTCCAAAAGCTCCATGAGTTGTTTGCTGCATTTTGATATGATGCTTTCCATTTCCGCTGGATTATCCACTACTCTTTCACTCAATAAAATTTGCCGACAAACAAGAATGCTGCAATTGAAATCACCAAATCAGAGAATAGGTATCAGTTAACCCCTAATACATTTAGGAATTTAAACCCTGTTTCCCAAATGAAGATTATGTGGTACTTGTAAAGAGTACAAACATCCGATAAATACATACAGCTGCAATATATGAACATAGCTTTTTTTAAGCTTACAGTGGCTATAGAAGCAATAATTCTCAACTCTTCAGCAGAAGATCATGCTATTTTATAGTTTCCTAACCAAAGAATATTTTGTCCCTCGGGCATTTCCTATCCAATTGGGGCAAGAATTCATTTACACACCTCTGGAAGCAATGTGGCTTTTGAACACGTTTATCTTGCCACATAAGCACTCTTAAGTTTCGTCCGGAAAGAGGCTCGGTAAGAGTAAGGATGAAACTTTCCAACTCAAGTTAACAAAAAATTTTTACTACTTCAGCATATCATACTACATTATTAAAACACCGGTTACAACTGAACAACAAGAAGTTGCATAAGTTTAGTCCAAACAAATGGTACCCAAGTCCACTACCCAACTTATCAATCTATGTAGTTCTTGGAGTTCAATAACAGTGGAAGGAACTAGTAATGTTGCTAAAATGTGATTTATTAAAATTTTCATCTGTCTGCTCTAGTTCAAAGTGCTTAAATCTGCCAAGATTGTGTCAACCATGAAAATAGCATAGTGAGACAAGAACTAATTCAAGAAAAAGAAGGTATTCACATCAATAAATACATACCCACAGCAGATGCACACATGTTAGTGTCTTTGTCAGAGAGAAAGACAGTAACATAAAAACATACCCACAGCAGATGCACGCATGTTAGTGTCTTTGTCAGAGAGAATACTATGCACGTGCAATAGATAGTGTGTGTGTGTGTGTGTGAGAGAGAGAGAGAGAGAGAAAGAGAGAGAGAGAGAGAGAGAGAGAGAGAGAGTGAAGGACAAAAGTGGACATTACCTAGTGGATGTTACAATAATCTTCTGAATTTGGGCCTGAACGGACCTCAACCTTGAGAAGTTAAGGAAAAATGTTTCAGGCAGAATTTCTGGTGTTATACCAGATATTTCAGTCACTAATTTAAGCAAGCCAAGCCTCACTAACAAATCGATTATTTCACCACTGCATTCTGGCTTTTGACCACCTGCTCCAAAACAGAAAAACAAGAGCCTAAGTGTTAAACATGAAAATAGGTAGGGCAAATGGCACATATTATCTGGAAGGTGAATAAGTTAGTTTCCACAAACTTCTGTTTATTTGGGATTCTTAAATCAGAATTATACACCTCCCCTTTTGGTTGATATGCATGATCTTTGTTCTCAGCTAAGCAAACAGAAGATATGTATATGATTAGTCTGAAGGTGCAAACCTGTAGCGTTTTTGGCAGCAAGAGATGAAACAGACATCTCATTTGTTCTGAAAAAAAAGCTTCCACCAGTTTTGAGCACGGTGGAAGGTAGAAGCCCTTGAGATGAACTTTCCTCGTTCAGCAAAGTTGAGAGCATATTAGTGTGTTCCTCCCATTCCAGATTTCTACAGTTCCACACAGAGGAAAGCCACCGCAAAGTCAGTGGTAAAGAAGTGTACGCACCAGCAGGAGGTCCAAAACGATTAGTGAAAGCATTTTGAAGGTATTCCAAAGCAGCCGGCCCTTTTAACAAAGGCTCCAAGATTCTTATACGTGCCTTGCTTATCTCTCGCTTCAGAGCCTGTTAAAGGGGGAGAAACATGCACACAAATATGGATAATAAGGCGGATGCAAACAGGAGATCTATGTTTATATGTGTTTGATATAGAGAGAGAGAGAGAAAGATTTTCTACTGAGAACCAAATTCAGCACAAAGTACATGGATGTAAATGAAACCAATACATGTTAGTTCATACCAAATGAGACTCCTCATTTTTATGTAGAAGTTACTCCAATATATGACCGACATACTTATAATATCCCCGATGGTGCAACATTTGAAAGAATTTCATAGTATAGTAAAAACTTCTTTTTTTTAAAAATATCATCACAAATTATACGAATTATTTGATAGACAATAAACTAATCATAATTTACATATTTGATGCATAAATAAATTAATTACATTTATATCTCAAATTCCATAACCATGGATTTGTGTTTCTACGTGTTAAGAAATGAATCACTAAGACACCTCGCTTAGATATGGAATTAACTTGGAATTCAATTACTTTTTCCTTTCAAATTTCTATCATAAATGTATGGTATTCATATTCCTATTCTATGGGAATTGAAAATTGAAATAAACTTTGTTCATCAAAACCCTACCATAATCCTAGCAAAGAAAGCAAACGTGGAACTACAACATTTGCTATAGCCAAAACAAGAAGAATTAGATTCGTATTTGACCGTAAGTATTTTCCATCAGTAACTGCAGATGGAACAAGCAATTTAAAGTTAATTTCGACTTTAATAAGATGTTTTAACAGCATTTTGCAAGGTGTGGAGAAAGCTTAGATATCAATGAATTGTAAAGATATCAACAAGACCCTCCACGAACTCTTTCCTGTTATGAATAAAATAGGAAATGTAAATAAAAGAAAACCGTGGTTATATTGTAGGATTAAAATCTCGTTAATGAGTCCATCCAAATGAATTTTTAAATACTGAGTTAGAAAGTGAAAGCTTTCCACAACTGAACAGTCACAGCCCAGCATAAGTGCCTAATTATGATTAAATTTTGAAGACAGGGAATAAGTCCAAGGCAAGAAATGTCAGAAAAACCTGAATTTGCTCCATGACAAAGCGCAAACCCCTGATCATTGCAGTAACATGCGAGCTGCTTGACAAATGGCCAGCTTGACATATTTCCGCTAACTCCTCCAACAACTTCTGGTGAGCAGCCTTCATTTCATCATCATTTGCTGGAGAAGAAAGTTTTTGTAAGGTTACCAATGCAAACCCCAGAATCTTCCCCAGATAATCAAGGTCCAAGTTGCCAGATTTCAGCACCTGAGAAAGAAAACAATGAATAATTAAAACTGAACTAGTATTTGCAGATAAATTCGATTAGTAATTACTGCTGTACATGATATAATTGAAAGGGGCACTACCTGACAGAGAATTTCCAGGTCAATAGCTTCAGTTATCTCTGCTTTCCAGCTCTGTGGAGCCATGTCACAAATTTCATCTCTCACTTCTCTAACAAGTTTAATAACCTTGTCATAGTTTGGCTTATCCCTTTTTACAGATTCCATGATGCTGTCCCAGAATGCTTTTTCCATTGTCTCTCTTATCTTTTCCTGGAAAATGAAGAACATATTTATCAGCATTTAAGGTTATAAATAATCAACTGAAACCCAGATTGAACAGCTTATGCTTTGCTTTTGAAGCTAGGTGGCATTCCATCATTGTTCACAAATTTGGTTACACAACTCATAAATTACATAAATAGTTCATTATTGGACAATGGTTGTCAAGGGAATGGGAAGGTAAGAAGTCATAAAGCTGTTAATAACTTTTATACTTATGCGATCCCCAAGCTCGGTAACCACCCACATAAAGCTTTGATTGCAAAACTTATGCAGAAGACATATTTCAAGATCATCAAGTCCTTCTAGGAACTCTGCTTATTTGAACCAAGAAGCTATAATGACAAAAGAGCACAAACCTTAATACTGTTCTGATCACCATTGACATTGTAGCTATCAATAAAAGGAAGGTGCTCGTGGAGAAACTCATTCACAATCAATTCATTCTCTTTTGCTGCACTTTTAGAAATAGATGCAGTTGATGGAGGTTTATCATCTTCCTTGAATAGAGAACGAACAACACAGCTCGGCTTCTCAATAGACTCCTCAAGAGTACCATCTGAGCTGCTAGCAATACAAGAAACAGGAGGCAAGCTAGCTGGGCTTTGAGATATAAAGTGCTCAGTAGGTGACCCTACTGGCACTCTACCATTCTTTTCTTGGAAGTATTTAGACCTTGTTTCAGCTAGAGCACATTCCATTCTTTCAACACCTGCAACCCCACTCAAATGTTGCACTTTTTCCCTTAGTAACTTCTGATCTTCTGTTACCTGCATTAATAATTTTTAAAAATAAGGTGAAAAACCAATATTAGAAGGCAAAATGGTCCATTTATTTAATTAAGGATTCTTTTTTGAAAAATTAAAAATAATTTTCCTTATTACCACAAACTAGACTGCAAAGCTCCTTCCTATATATGGATTGTTACTAAACTAGACAAAGGTAATAATAAACAATAGCACCAAGATTTAAGTGGCTAACTATAATAGCCTTCTGTAATCTTGAAAGAAAGTTCGGCAAATTACAAGGTGCATTTTCACCGTGATGCATTTTCAGAATCTCCATTGATGGACAAAGCAAATTTTTTTAGGGTAAAGAAAATTTCTTTGAAACATAAAAATATAACTATCTAATATACATGCTGAATTCAGCAGCCGGCGGCACCCTAGTACACAGAATATCCCCATCGAAAGAAGAAAACAACAAAATGCTAGTCAAATGCATAAATATAAAAATATATTTTTAAATATCAGATTGTTAACAAATTTGAGATAATCCGAAATTTTTTAGCAAAACTTGAGAAATATGCAAAAATAAGCAAATCAGTGAATGTTCGCTCTTTGTATGCTTAAATATCTTTATAATGCAAGTCTTATTCAGAAAATTTTATCATGAAGGGCCTAAAGATAGGACCTGCTTTTGAATTGCTTTCATATCATGTGTAAGACCATTGCTATCTCCTTCTGGAGTCAACTTGCATTTCTGAATCATAGAGAGCTCAAGCTGGCAAGCAGCTCTCACCAAATCATCCTGCAACAATTTAGCATCCTTAACCTTCCAAACTACAAAACAATTTAGGTAAGAGCACCACATCTTGTCAAATATCGCAAGCTGCAACTTGAAAGTGCAACGTTTTGGGACCGAAGAATCTGATTCTTCATCAGTACTCTGAACAGGACCCTCTAAAATAATTTTAATCAACAACTCAAGCTCACGGACAAATTTTTCTGCAACTTTGGCCAGAGCAGCCTCTTGCTCGCCTTGACCACTGAACACTGCATCTGGATGACCCAAGATCATGTATGCAGAAAGAACTATTCTCACTGGATACCTAGACATTTTAGCTGGAGATTTTGTCATATCCTTAACAGACCCCACTTTCCTTGCCCCTCTGCTCCTCATAGAAGGCCTTGGAGTAGTCCTTCTCCTAGGGGTAGCAACTCTCTTGAGCAGGTGATCAATGTTATCCAAACTTGAAGATTGGTTTGTAGCAGCAAAAGCCTTGGAGACTCTGAAGCGGCTCTCAAGACGGTCAAGCAAACTTTTCACAGTTTGGAGGGTGGTATTTGATTCAATCAAAACAGCAAGCTGCTCAAATGGCATTGACTTGATGCAGTTCTCATTTATTTTCAGGGCATCATAAGCTTTTGCCAAGTTTAAAGTAGTTTTCTTCAACAGAAACTGCTGCCAGCACCTAACAGAGTGCAGAAGTATTAAGCAAAATCAAATATCTAGTGTTAACTATTTACCTTTGCATCATATATTATGTTTGCAAACTAAGAATTCCAGTCTCTTTTCCTATTTCAGACTCCAATAAAGGAAAAAGAAAATACCAAAGCATATATGACATATAAGGACTTAAATAGAGGTCCATGACAATGGGCAAGATATATATTCGTGAAACTCCCTAGTAGGACAAGATAGTATTGACTACCTTGCTAATTTTCTGGAGAGAATGTCAGCCTCTTTGTCATTCCTATTCTGGTTCAATCTAACAGAATTATGCAGTCTTCCTCTTTGCCTCAAAAACTCTGCTCTTTGGCTCTTTGCCTAATTTATAACAATTCAGTGGGGAGGATACAGTATCAAAAATTTCATTCATATAAAATATTATTAACTTAAAAAGAAAAAAATTTCTATTAGACATAAAATAACATGCATACCCTTTGTAGTCTATCTTCCAGCTGATCCCTCATTCTCCTTCTCTCAATCTCACGTTGGTGAGAGACAGACTTAGCAACACGCCGCACCTTCAACACCCTAGCATGTGCCTTCTTCTTCTCTGCTTCTAGCAAACCTAATCGTTTCTTCTCAGCAGCTATACGTTTTTGGTGAATTGCTGCACGCACACGCTCCTTATACTTGCTCTCACGAGTCATCCTTCTCAACATTGACTGGGATGACCTCTCCTTTAATGTGGCCCTTCTCTGACTGTAAGCCTTTAGAATAAGCATTCTGTTTTCCTCTGCTTGCTGAACTCGCGACTCCACTTTTGTTCCAAGCTTCTCCCGCTCCCTTTCAAAACGTTTCTCTACCCCCATTTTAGCTGCTTGCCGTAACTCATCTAACCTAGCTAGACGCATTTGAGCCTTAGCCAAAATGCTCAACCTGTCATTTCAAGAACATATGAATCAAGAGTGGCTGCAGTTGAACTTACAAGTAAATATAATTTCTAGTTCTAACTTTCTAAAATTGAATTTGATACCCATTACATATAGAGGGTGCTTGGTTTACTTATTCTTTTGTGAAAAGAGAGCTAATAACTTCTAAAAGCTTAAATTCTGGGACGTGTTTAACGATCAGAAGAGCTTATAAGTTGGACTTTTATAAGCTCTTCCAACAGCTTATCTTGAAAAACTTATGTCACGTTCCCATCTCTCCCTATCACTTGCTAATTATTATTTCACCCTAAAAAGTAAAAGGATGATGAGTATCTCACAATTTCTTTTCCTTTTAATCTACGTCCCTTAATCCAAACATAATGTAAAATATTTAAAGTCCTCATCTTTTCTTTGATTTTCTCCCCAATTTCGAGGAGTAGAAAATTTTAGAATTTTACCTGTTTTGGTAAACGTCGGTATGAATACAGAGAAAAGAAATTAATGGCTTTTTAGAAAAGAAAGAAAAATTATTTCCCTTGTTAGGATAACTAAAATCTGAAGAAGTAAAGGCAATTATTATTATCCTATTTTGTTTGATTTAGCTTTATAAAAGAAACTAAAAGATTAGTTATTGAGAAATAGTTAATAACATTGATAATCAATAAAAAGACAAGGTTGTAAATAAAATAAAAATTTCTCCTAAAATCTTTAGGTTATTTCTTCTCTCCAATTTGGAGGAATAGAATATTAGAGTTATAAGGAAAAAGGAGGGATGCTAACAATCATTCCCTTTGCTAAGTCAGTAATTTTTTATTCAAATAAGAGAAAGTAAGGCGAGTATTCCTTCGTTTCATCCATTTCCGCCATTTTCCTCAATCCAAACATAACGTAAAAAAAGGACAGATGCTGACTATCTATCTCTTTCCTTTACTAATTCTTACTTTTTACCCAATTTTTTTTTAAAAAAGAAGGGTATGCATCCTATCCTTTCTTTCCTTTACCCACTTCCCTTAATCCAAACATAGTGTAATACTCTGTTCAAAGAAAATGAGAAAGTGAAAAATTAAAAAATATATATTATATTTGGATTGAAGGAAGTGGATGGAAAAGAAACCAACTGGTGGGATCCTCACCATCCTTTCTCCTTTTTCCTCCAGATCAGGAGAAAATGAGGGGAAGGAAAAGGACTTCAAGATTTTCACGAAATAGTTTATATATTATCCTTGCTAATTAATTAACTTGATTCTATACTAAAGTAAGAGTACTGTTCACTATTTTTCCAAACAAAATATTACAACACTTCTTCCTTAACTTTTTTTTTTCCAATTTTTAGTTATCCAAACAAGAAAAACACTTATTTCTCTTTTCTCTAAATATCACTCTTTTCCTTTTATTTCCTTTCATCTTCCTTCCTTTACTAATATTTACTCAAACATAGTTTTAAAACATGGAGAAATGTTGAATATTCCTCTCTTTCTTTTATTAATTACTATTATTTTATCCAAACAACAGAAATGAGGGATGAGCATCTCATTCTTTCCTTTACCTTCTTTTCCCACCACTCCCTCAATCCAAACATGGTGCACAAATTAGAAAATTGGAAGAAGACTGAAGCAACCATGACTAAATGCAAAATACTTGATATTGCTGAGGGATAAGAGTTAGGAATACACCTCCCCCACCCCCCTCCAACAAATAAATATAGTACAGGAGATGCATGGAAGCATATCTTTAATATATGAGAACCAAAATTTAAAAAAGAATGAATAGAAACTGAGGAAATTTGACAGCTAAGTATATTCTAGGATATTAATTATTTAATATGAATAGCTTTACCTTTTGCGTTCAGCAGCTTGAAGCCTCGCCTCAAGGCGCTGGCCAAGGTCTTCCTCATGAGAAAAGGACCGTGAGGGGCTTCTTGGCTTTGCCCGTGCCTTGGTTGACACATTTTCATAGAATTGCTGCATTCAGGGAAAAGAATTATAATTCGAGTATAACTAGTTCTGATAAACCGACTCCATGGAAACAAGAAAACGTTACAACTGAAGATAGACCATCAAGTAAACTCAAAGATAAACCATTAACCATCCAATGCCACTCTAGGACAACCAGCATACTATCTGAAAAAAAAACTCCCGGAAAGAACCGAGGAGAAACAGTAGTTCCAAAGAAAATAAAAACACAAATGAGAATCAGTCCTCCATCAACCCGGTAAGCATGAGATAGATAGAGAAAGAGTGCAAGAGAAAGAAAAAGATAGAGGCCACTATGTTAAAAGGGCAAGGCAGAAGTACAAAACTATCGACCCTCCACCTTCTACCTAACACGAAAAATAACCTTCCAAATAAAGATTTAAATGTTACCCCCAAAAGGAAAAATTTAACGCCACCCAGAAATCTGAAAAAGAAAAGGTAAGCAAACTTAAAATTTAATCAAACTAAGTTCCGCTATAAAGAGGTTTAGGAAAGCTAGTTTCAGAGAACAAACAAAAGAAACACAGAACATTCAAATTCTTGTTTATTCTGCATGCCTCCATGGCAAACACCAAACATTTAAGAGGAAGAAAACACACACACAGACGTACAGGCAAACAAGAACATAACCCCTATATACTTTATCGGTAAGAGGAAAAGGAGGAGAAGCATTCCCAGTTTGGTTATTGAGAAGCAAAAGAAAGTAGAACTTCAAGTGATCAAACATCAGATTTAAATTAAGTATACTATATGTAAAACTTCCAACCAAACATTTTCTAGAAATCACTCTAGACTCCAATTCAACCTCTCCAGTAATAAGACCAAAAATTTAAAAAACAAATTCTGGCAAAAACAGTTGAAACCAAAAACAACTAAAAGCTATAAAAGAAATTATGTCGTCTATTAACTTCAATTTGAATTTTTAATCAAGATTACAGTAATTATCTCTTCAATTATATTTATGAATAAAGAAATCAAACGCAAAAAAAAACTCAAATTTCCTTTTAGTTAGTTTTTTTTTTTTTCCAATAGTTCAATTTATCAGAAACCAAATAAAATCTGACATGCAAACTAATTTTAAACAAATAAAAAAATTTGAAGCAAAAAAGAGGCCTAACCTGTCTGCGAAGATCCGCGTGTCGAAGCTTGGCTTCGATTTTTTCAACAGTACTGGGTGCCTTGTTACACTCCATTAGAAGCCTTTTCTTTATCCTCGTCGGCACCCTTGGCGGAGACGAGAGTGACGTCGTCTCATCGGGTGCAAAATCAAAAGCAATTGCAATCGCTCTTCCCATCCCCGACGACTCCATGATCACAGCAAAAACGATGTAATCACTAAAAGCACACGTAAAACTATTTATGCACAAGATAAGCGTGATGATCTTCTTCAAATATATTTTGAGAAAATACTTGGACAATGAAAAGAGAGAAAATGAATGGAATTGCAGAGGAGAGAAGATGAAGAAATGAAAAGGGTTAATTGATTGAAGATGAGAGAATTGGAGAAGAAGAAAGGCTGCGTGTTGAAGAGAGTTTGGTTTGGTTTGGTTTGGTTTTGGTTTTGGTTTTGGTTTTGGTTTCGGTATCTGCTTTTTTGGTTTTGGTTCGGAATTCTGGTTCGGTTGCTTTTAAATTCAATGTGATGTGAAGAAGAAGTGTAATTTGCTTGCCCTACCTATCCGGGTATTTTCCACGTCAGTGGTTGGTCCCACAGTACAGCTTTTGTTATTTATGAAATGACATAAATACCCCTGGGAATTTG